TTTTTTTTTTTTTTACCTTCCCCTCCTCCATGGGTTTCTGTTAAGTTTCTCAGGATCCACATAAGAGTGAAAACATATGGTATCTGTCTTTCTCTGTATTTAAGCCCATTTTTTAATGCTTTGTTAAAATTTATTTAAAATTTTTTATTATGAAAGATTTCTAACAAATTAGAACGGTATAATGAACCCGTGTATCTATTTCCCCGATTTAGCAACTGTCCACATTTGGCCAGATTTGCCTTATCCCTTTTGCTGAAGTACATATTAAAATAAATGACCTACATCTTGATATTAAGCTCATAAATATACGTACCTTTAAAACAGACTGACCTGCAGGGGCACTGGACTGGCCCAGTCAGTAGAGCGTGCGACCCTTGATCTTGGGGTCATGAGTTCGATCCCATGTTGGGGGTAGAGATTACTTACAAATAAAATCTTCAAAATATATACATTTACCTATGAAACAACAATATCTTTTTAAGACTACTTTGTCAAATACACCCCCACAGATTTTTCTCTTCTGTTCTTCAACCTCCCAAACCAGGATCCTGGGTTTCCGCCGAGCGCCCTTAGTGGTTGGCAGATTTGTTAATCTGCGGACAGAGATCAAGCCTGTTGCCACGGAGCAGCTGTTGAGCACCTTCCTAACCGTAGGTAAGAAGATTATAGAGGACATTTAAATAGAGGAGTAGTTAATAAGTTATTAACTATCATGGCACAAGCTGGTTTGTGACTTTCAGGAACTGAAGAACTCAAGGGAGCACAAAATCAAATCAGGTAACTTGTTCTCAGGTCACTGGGGGAAATGGATCTGACGGCAGGTGGCCAGAAAGCGAAAGTTTTCCCTGATGTGTGCTTTGTTGTGTCTGTGAAGTAGGAAGTGACATAGTTGACTGATAGTGTAAGCAGGTGATAACTTCTTTTCCTTCTGCTTGATCTCAAAGTAAATCTCAAACTTAAATTTTAGCCTGAATGTGTATTATTGACTTGGAGGTGTTTTTCCTATACATGTCCTTTCTTGGGAACTATCTCCTTAGAATTGAGGAAACCCTAAGGCAAGCCTGTAAGAGGGTCAGAAATGCCCTTGTAGGGTTGCATGTGGGCCTGAAAGATCACCGCTGCCTTCTGCTCTGAAAGGGTCAGCCTATAACTCACTGTGCATAGAACTGGCTGTGGTCCCTCTGGTCTCCGTTCTCCATCTTCTCACTCCAGGGTGAGGACTCTGAGCTAAATTCTCACTCCAGTTCTCCTTGTGGGCACAGTGAGAACGGGAGGGATTCAGAGGTGCTGGGGGCTCTTGTTTCAGCCTCATCGTGGTGACATTTTCAATGACACAGCGCTCTGCATTATGATATGACTATCAAAACAGCATTGCGAGATGAATTTCAGCTTGCTTGGCTAGAATGAATGGATTTGTATTTCCAATGAGGTGAAATTGAGTATTTAAAGGGCTTATGACAGATTCATCATTCAGAATTTAAACATAGAAGGCCAAGCTACACTGTTCTTACAAATAAGCAAAAACACACAGTGTCGTGATTTGTTTCATATATTTTCTAATCATCTTTGCCTGTCCAATTTTATGCTCAGGCAAACACAAGTTCCTGCTGGATGAGAGGAGGTCAAGAATAGGCCAGAGCCTCTGCTCTCTGGAGACTCACAGAAGGTTAACTCTCAGACACGGTGCGAGGGGTGGGAGAGGGAGAGGCCAGAAAAAGGTTTGTAGAGGAGGTTATTGTCACTGAGACTGAGTATTGAAGCATCAGTAGGAGCCACCCAGGCAGCGTCTTCGCTGGGCATCAGGCGAAGTAACAGAAAGGAAGAACGGAGCGAGGGCATAGAGACAGGCCAGGGCGTGGGGTTGGCACACTTGGGGAATGAGCTTCTGGACGCACCCTCAGCACAGAGCAGCGTCTCAGTGGGCGCTGCCGGAAGATCTCATGGACCACGTGGCTTAAACAGTGGAGATTTATTTCTCCCAGTCGTGGAGGCTGGAAGTCCGAGATGAGGGTGCCGGCACAGTTGGGTTCTGGTGAGGACACTCTTCCTGGTTTATAGTCAGCCACCGTCTTGCTGTGTCCTCACACTGGCAGAGAGAATGAGAGAGGAATCATCTCTGCTGTCTCTTCTTACGAGGGCGTGAACCCCATCATGAGGGCTCCTCCTGGAAGTCCCACCTTCAAATGCCAGCACACTGGGGATTAGGGGTTCAACATATGAACTTGGGGGTACAGAAACATTCAATCCGTAGCAGCAGGTAGACGGATTTGGCTGGAGGTAGATTTTAAATAATGAGCTGACCTTAGCACAATTTTTAAAAATATGTTATGAGATAACTTCATATAATAACAACTAAGTTCTGTGTGACCCTTGCAGCTCAACAAAGCACTTACACAGTTACCTTATTTTGATCATGTTGACAAAAGAATGCAGTAAGTAAGGGAGATGTACCTATATTTCACACCTGAGAAAGAGGCTCGAAGGAATTAGAGGACTTCCCCAAAGTCACATAGCTACTACTTGTTAGCCAGGACTCAGACCCGGATTTTCAGACTCTCAAATATTTCATCCGCTTATATTCTTTTTTTTTTTTTTTTTTTTTTTTTTTGGGACAGAGAGAGACAGAGCATGAAGGGGGGAGGGGCAGAGAGAGAGGGAGTCACAGAATCGGAAGCAGGCTCCAGGCTCTGAGCCATCAGCCCAGAGCCTGACGCGGGGCTCGAACTCACGGACCGCGAGATCGTGACCTGGCTGAAGTCGGACGCTTAACCGACTGCGCCACCCAGGCACCCCATCATCCGCTTATATTCTTTTACAGTCTTTCAGGGGTGCCTGGGTGGCTCAGTCGGTTAAGCTTCTGACTTTGGCTCAGGTCATGATCTCGCAGCTTGTGACACAAGCCGTGAGCCCCGCGTCGGGTTGTGTGCTGACAGCTCAGAGCCTGGAGCCTGCTTTGGATTCTGGGTCCCCCACTCTCTCTCTGCCCCTCCCCGCTGTCTCTCTTTCTCTCAAAAATAAACATTTAAAAAATGACATTCTTTCAACAAAATTCTGTTTCACTTCTGTGTGGTAGGCTCTGAACCAGGTGCTGAATATACAAAAATGAGTAACACCTTCCTGTCTTCCAGGAGTTTCGTCTAACAAGGAAGCCAGACACGTACAGAGGGCCTGTGAGCGTGTGGAAGGGAAGGGCAGATGTGAGGGTCAAGGTGACAGTTCGATAGCGAAGGTGGTATTTCATTCAAGTCTTATAGGGAGAATAGCAATCCTCCAGGAAGGCAGAGTGGGAAGGCACATCCTGGGTGTCCAGACTCTAACCTTTTCTGTACTATAGACTCTTGGCATGCTAGAGAGGAGCTTTTCTCAAAATAATGTTTTTAAATACATAAATTAGGATACATAGAATTCTAAATGAAACCAATAATATTGAAATATAGTTTTGTTATTAAAAATTAGAAAAAGCAAGTTTGTGATATACTAGTATGTGCTTTGTTATTAACACACGAAATAACAAGATCATAATCATAATCTCAGACTGTGTATGAATGATACTTTGGGCTGTCTGCAACAGTGCTAATATGATACAAAAAGTCTAATTTCTTCTGTGAAAAAGTCACAGGTGATGCTAATTCCACCCTGGTTTGCTCCCTGCCATCATAACTGACGGAAATGCTAAGTTTCAGATAGAAGCTAATGAAAATAAAAATGTAATTTTGTTCCCATCCGGTGCACGGGCTCCCTGAGTTAACCGTGTTCCAAGTGGCGGGCGCTGCACGGACAAGGTGACGAGAAGTGAGAGAAGCCTGTGGCAAGCTCAGGAGACTGTGTAATTTAGCTAAAGTGAAGGGGGGTGTGGTGCCGGTGAGGGGGGAAGGCAGGTGATCCGAACGATGTCACTGAAGGGCCTTGCGCACCAGGCTTAGAAGTGGCGACGTTTTGCCTAGGCAGTGGGAGGCCGTTAAAAAAGCTGGAGCACGGGAAGATCAGAATGGAATTTTGGAAACCCAACTGCGGCGGCTTCGTGGAGGATGGGGATGAGGTTGGGAAGGGGATGAGATGAGCGATGAGAGCACATAGAGGCTGTGTGCGAACCGCGTGTGTGGTACGAGCCAGAACCGGAGTAAGGACGGCAGAGAGGAAGAGTTAAGAGACGCTCGAGAATTAAAATGGAACGGATTTGTGAACATTTGGGCTGAGTGGGACAATTGAGAGAGAAGGAAAAATTAAGAATGACTCCCAAGTTCCTGGATTGGATGACTCAGGGTATAACAAAGCTGTTAGCTGTCGTGGGAATGTATGCAAAGGAGCAGACCTGGGGAGGTGAAGAGGAGGAAGACAGTGAATCAAATTTTGGACATTTCATTTCCTTGTGTGAAATAATAAGAAATAGGTATATTTGGCTCTGCCCCCAGTGCCTGCACAGAACTCCTACAACCCTGGTGAATTCCTAAGCAATAACAGCACAGGGGTGTCTCTTGTTCTCTTGAGGTGACGCCACGTGGGCTTCCGGATGCCTCCTGGACGGGAGCTCGTCACCAAAGAGACAAGCCACAATCGGAAACTTGGAATTTTCACCACCACCCCACCGTCCACCTCCAATTCTCCAGGGAGGAGAGGGGTGTTGAAAATAGAGTTAATAATTGACTGTTCCTCTCTGAGAAAGCCCTCCATGAAAATGCCAGCAGTATGGGATTTGGGAGTTTCCAGATTAGTTAACCAGAATGCTTCCATATGCCACTGGCCAGGCCCCATGAGGACAGAAGCTCCTTTGTTGGAAACCTTGCCCTGTTTATCTCCATCAGGTTTTTGCTTTGTATCCTTTGTAATAAACCAGTAGTCTAGGGGGTTAACTGCTTTCCTATGAGCCTCTCCAGGAATTTTTTTTTTTATTGAGCTATAATTGGCATACAACATTTATGTTAGTTTCAGGTATGCATCGCAATGGCTTCACATTTTATCACCACGATGTCTAGTTAACATCCATCGCCGTACGTAGTTACAGAATTTTTTCTTGTGGTGAGGACTTTTAAGATCTATTCGCTTAGCAAGTTTCATTGTAGTATTATTAACTATAGTCGCCATGCTGTGCTTTACACCCCCAGGAACAACCTATTTCATAACTGGAAGTTTGTACCTTTCGACCCACTTTATTCCATTTCGCCCACTGTATACCCCACCGCCTCTGGCAACTACCAGTCTGTTCTCTGTATCTGAGAACTTAGTTTTGGATTGTTTTTTGGTTTTGTTTTTAGATTCTACGCGTAAGTGAGATCAGATGGTATTTGTCTTTCTCTGTCTGGCTTCTTTCATTTAGCATAATGCCCTCAAAGTCCATCCATGTTGTTGCAAATGGCAAGATTTCATTCTTATTTTTTATGGCCAAATAATATTTCATTTTGTGTGTGTGTGTGTATGTATATGTGTGTGTATATACATATATACATATATGTATATGTACATATATACGTATATACACATATATACATATACACATATATACATATGTATGTGTGTACATATGTATACATATATAAATATATATATACACACACACACACACACACACATATACATACACATACAGCAGTAGTCATTCATCGGTGGACACTTAGGTTGTTTCCGTATCTTGGCTATTGTAAATAATGCCACAGGGA